CCCCCCTTTCCCCCCCCCCCCCCACATACAAACAAATACCCAACCCCCGCCGCAGGTGCTGCACGTGCAGGCGCTGTCGGCTCTGGAGCGGGCCCGCATCCTGGCGGAGGCGCGCGAGCGCCATGCGGCTGACGTGGCGCGCGACGTGGAGCTGGCGGGGGTGGAAGCTGAGAAGGCGCTGGCGGATGGCGCTGACCTGGAGATCACCCTCAAGGTTTCAGGGGTTGAGGGGTCGGGTGGGGGTGTGGGGGAAGTTTCAGGGTTGGGTGGTTGGGGGTGAGGGGGTTTCAGGGCTGGGTGGGCGTGATGTGCTTGGAGACACGACGATGACGTCACACCTGGGAGGCTCCCAAGGCCTTGTCATCTGGATGCGTCGGGCCTGGGCGCTTTTTCAAAACGTGTCGGTGTGGCGAGGAGCGCGCGTGTGGCCTCAAGGTGTGAGAGGGGCCCGGTTTGCTGCGCGCGGCGACCGCCACCAGCACGCCACCCTCCATTATGAGGGTGGCAGTGCCGGCTGACGGGCGTGCCGGCCTGGCGGCCATTCACCATGCGCGCTTCGTGGCACCTGGGTTCCTCTGCTGACATCAGCGCTTTGAACCCCGGCCCCGCAGGCGGCCCAGTCGGAGGTCCGCCGCGAGCGCCTGTCGGCCGCCGCCGCGCGCCGCGAGCGCGAGTCGGCGCTGCGCGCGCTCAAGGCTGCCCAGGCCGCGCTCGAGGAAGCCGAGGGGCAGCTGCCGCAGCTGCGGGTGGAGATCGAGCTGGTGACTAAGGACAAGGTGGCGGCGGGGGACACGGCGGGGGCGCTTGGGGGAGAGATTGCCGTGCTGAAGAAAGAGGTGGATCTCAAAATCGCAGCCTTCATGGAGGTGAGCAAGTGTGTGTGTGTGTGTGTGTGTGTGAGGGGAAAAGGGGGTGGAGTTGTATGAGAGTCGAGGATGAGTATTACGGCGGCAGCGTCTTGGCATATGCCGGTCCGGGCTCCCGCTCAACCCTTGCTTGGCGGGCTTGGCTCCAGGGCCAGGGCCAGGCATGCCTACATGAAGGTCGCTCCTGGCCGAGCGGCCCGCCCATACGGCCTCCCGGCTGACCTGCCACGGCCCTGCCGCCGCTGCGCCTGTTGACACGCCCGCTGCTGCCCATCCGGCGGCCGCCCGTCCGCTGCAGGAGGAGTCCTGCGGCAAGGACAAGGCGGCGCTGTACGGTCTCCTGCGCCAGGAGGTGCGCTGAGCTGGCGAAGGGGGCGGGGTTGAGCGTGTGTGGCGAGCGCAGAGGGTCTCGCGCCATGCCCCTTCGACACCCCCTTGCAAGCCCTTGTACACCTGGCTCCATGCCTGCACGGCACTCATGACTGCACACGCCCGCCTCCACACACGCGCACACACACATGCAAGCACGCGCGCGCACACACACACACACACACGCACGCACGCACACACACACACATACACACACACACACGCACGCACACACACACACACACACAATCTCCACATGCTGCCCTCCCTCCCGCTGCGCCCCGCCCCCACCCCACACCCGTGTGCAGCTGGCCCTGTCTGAGGGGGAGCTGTCAGCCCTAAAGGATGACGACCGCCAGAGGGCGCGGCTGCTCGCTGACATCACCGCACAGAGGGACAGGCGCGCCCGACCCTCACCCCCTGTCCCCCACCCCTGCCAATGCTCAGGGGGGACGGGGCACGTGTTTCACACAGGCCAAGCCTGCCTGACAATCACTGATGCTGCCGCTGCTGCCGCTGCTGCTGCTACTGCTGCTGCTGCTGCTGCTGCTGCTGCTGCTGCTGCTGCTGCTGCTGCTCATGATGATGATGACGACAACGGTGGCCAGTCGCTTTGTGGTACGGCGTTATGGGGTTGCAACGGCGCACGGGCACACAGCGCATTCCGGCCCCTGACACGCGCGCCCCCTGCGCCTGTGTGTGTCTGTTGCCGCAGGGCAGCGCGGCTGGTGGCGCAGAATCGGGCCCGGGTGCGGTCTGCGCTGGGAGCCGTGAGGATCAGGGCGCGACAGTTGGAAGACATGAAGCTGGTGGGTGGGGTGGGGGTAGGG